CTTGCTGCGCAAGGGGAAGACTGTGGTGTAACGCGAGTAGTCGTCAACCACCAGCAGGAAGTAACGCTCGTGACCCTGTCCACGGATGCGGGCTGGGCCCCACACGTCCATGTGAAGCGTCTGCAGCGGAGCCTCTGTCGGAGGAAACTCGGAGGAGTGAGGGGCAGCGCGCTGCCGCCCCTCGACGCAGGGAACGCAGGTGGGGGCAGGCCCCGGAGGAAGGGGAGGGAGGGACCGGGGGAGGCCAGAGACAAGAAGACGGGAAGCCATGCCTCGAAGACGAGGCAGGGAGGGGTGACCAAGGCGGTGGTGCCAGAGGAGAGTCCGGTGGGACAGGAGACGACACGAGCAGGGGGCAGACTCAGGACCAGACCTGGACGCCGCAGCAAACACCTGACCCGACGCTGCTACCTGAGCAGACTCAGCGACTGGAGGAGACTCAGTAGTCAGTGTGTACAGGCTCGACCCCGGCCGACGGGTAAACGTGGCCAAGTGTCGGCCCGTGTCCGCACACGTGCAGTGAGTCACCCGCTGACGAGCAGGGGTGAACTGGTCAACTCCCCCATCCTGTAGGTCAGCACCCGCCACCAAGTTCGTAGAGAACGAGGGGAGGTAAAGACCCGACAGGGAGCCAGACGGGACCGCTGGACACGGTAGGACAGTGGAGTAGTGGGCAAGGACAGGACCCCCAGAGGGGTCTGCCAGGGAGACTGCAACGGGCCGACTGAGCGGCGTGAGAGTGGTGCAGTCTCGAAAGAAGGAGCGGGAAGCACCCGAGTCAAGGGTGAAGGTGTGGGTGTCCGGTGACGACGCAGTACCTGAGAGCGCAGACTCACCGGCACCTGGGGCGGCAGACGCACTGGCACCTAGAGCAGCAGCCTCACAAGCACCTAGCGCAGCAGCCTCTATGCCTGGGTCAGGCGGAAAACACCGGTAACAGTCACCCTCATCACTAATAGTCACAGCATACATGGCAGCAAGAATAGCATCATAATCAAGATCAAAGATCGCAACACCCGCCCTAGACAGCTCGCCCCAGCGAGGGATCTCAGTAGCGTCGGGGAACTGGTGACGCCACGCGTCCGTCAGACGGCCGAAGCAGCGCTGGGTGGAGTGCGCTCCCCCACACTGCTCACCCGCGCGGTCGCCGGTACGGAGAACGTAGGTACAGGGGCCAGCACCCCCACCCCGCTGACGAGCAGTGTACCACTCACGAAGCTGCTGGGGGGAAGGGGTCTCACGAGTACGCTGCTGCTGCTGCTGCTGGCGCGTACCACCACCGGAGCCGACCCTCTGCGCAGCGCCACCCCGACCAGCTCCACCTCCTCCGCCGCTACCTCCTCCACTACCGCCACCTCCGCCACCTCCGCTCCCACCGCCACCGCCGCCTCCACCTCCACCTCCAGTCCCGCCACCGACGCCCCCACCCCCGCCACCACCCCCACCGCCACCCCCACCCCCTCCACCACCTCCACCTCCGCCTCCACCGCCCCCTCCAGCCCCTCCAGCACCCTTGCCCCCCTTGCCCTTGCCAGGGCGGCGTCTCCCGCTAGGGGCAGACGCCGCAGCGACCGACTCAAGACCAACGAGGTCGGCCGCAGCAGCAGAGGCAACAGAGGGCAGGAGGGGAGAGGGGGAGCACCCCTCAAAGACAGGGGTACGAGGGTCACCACGAGAGGCTCCTACAGCGACTATGCTCTTCTCTGCCGCTAGAAGGCGCTCCTCGAGGAGGTCAACGGTGAGGGTGGTGGGGCAAACAGAGAGGAAGTGGTCCCTGACCGGGCGAAGGGTGTCAGGGAGCCGGGTGACTATGTAGTAGAGGGTGATGTACATGGGGGGGGGGGGGGGTTCTTGGCGCAGAACTCAGCAGGAAGCGCAGCGCGGTAGCGAGTGTCACTAGTGCGAAGGTGCGTAATGAGGTCAGCGACAGTGGGAAAAGCGGCGAGGTCAGGGAAGAGGTACGGTAGGATGAGGCGGCTAAGCGCAGCAGTGGCAGGGGAAGAGTAGCGTGCAACTACAGCGTCGTACAAGGTCTTAGCACTCTTGTACTGGCTAAAGTGCGCACGCTCAGCGGTCGGCAAGTGGCGGCGCACAGCAAGGCGGGCAGCAGCATCGCGCGTGGCCCACTGGGAGCGAACAGTGGGGTCAGCATCAGCAGCAGGGGCAGGAGAGGCACCAGAAGTGAGGTCAAAGAGGGAGAGGCCGTCTGCTCTGTCGCTCAGTAGGAAAAGCTGCAGGTCATCTACCCAGACGTCAAAGTCAATGGCCCGGCCCTCAGCGTCAAAGGTGAGGACACTGGGGGAAGCCATGACAGCAGTAGAGTGGTAGTGAGAGCAGCAGGCAGGGGCAGAGCAGTGGTGGAGGCGCTGCTCTTACCGGGCAGGCGAGAAGGGCCGAGGCGCGTCGGCAGGAACAGGGCCGCGACAGCAGGAACGGCGGCTCGGCGGCTCAGCGGCTCGGCAGCTCAGCGGCGGCGGCGTCTCGGCGGCTCGGCAGCACGGCGGCAGTGGCGGCTCGGCAGCCCGGCAGCCCAGCGGCAACGGCAGCTCAGCGGGTCGGCTGCGGCAGCGTCTCGGCGGCTCGGCTGCTCGGCGGGGCCGCGAAGGCGCGGCGACGGGGCCGCAAAGGGCGGCGGTGGGGTCGCACGGGTGGGGCGACGGGGTCGCGGGCGGCTGCGACGACAGGGGCCGCGAGCGGCTGCGACGACGGGAGCGCAGGCGGCTTCGGCGACGAGGTCGCGGGCGGCTGCGACAGCAGGGTCGCGGGCGGCAGCGACGGTAGGGTCGCGGGCGGCTGTGGCGATAGGGTCGCAGGCGGCTGCGACGCCAGGGTCACGGGCGGCCGCAGCGGTAGGGTTGCGGGCGGCCGCGGCGACGAGGTCGCGGGCGGCGCGAAGGGCGACGGGGCCGCGACGGGCGGCGTTGGGGTCGCGGGCAGCTGTAACGACGCCGTGCAGGGCGACGCGAGGGTGGGGCCGCGGGGTCGCGAGGGTAGGGCCGCGGGGCCAGCATTGGCGGCGCCGTGGCCTAAAGGGCGGCGCGACGGGGCCGCTAAGAGAGGCGAGGGGTAGGGGGGGTGGGCGCGACTCGGGCAGGGGCCGAGCGCGCTCCGGGCAGGAAAAAAAATGTTACGGTGGGCCCTAGGAACAGTTCCCACGAGGGAACCTGCTCTATACCATGTGAAACTTAGAATGAGAATGATGTGACTAACAGCAATGGGAGTACAAATATGAAACCCTAGAGTTCTGTACCCCCTAAGGCTAAACCCACTGTAGCCTACAAAGCTACAACATGCATAATGTTTGACAAAGGGAAGGCGACGGGAAGGGAAGGCGACGGGAAGGGAAGGCGACGGGAATGGAGGGCGACGGGAAGTGAGGGCGACGGGAAGGGAGGACGACGAGAAGGGAGGGCGACGGGAAGGGAGGGCGACGGGCGGAAGGGAGGGCGACGGCGGAAGTGCTAGAGAGCGACGGCGGAAGAGAGAGCAACGGCGGAAGGGAGAGCGACTGTCAGAAGGGAGAGCGACGGTCGGAAGGGAGAGCTACGGTCGGAATGAAGCGCTTCTAGCCGGAAGGGATCAATTTGACCATGTACGGTTGGTTTTTATAATTGGCTGTTCCGATTGATTGTTCGTATTTGTCGCCGAATAGGCTACTGTCAGGATAGTGCCGAGAGCTACTGAGAAAAAGGTGTGATACGAAGAAAGCTTGTGCGTGAAAAGCGGTTGAATCACGTATATGTTGCCTGTCAATATGCCTGCCAATTAGTACAACATGGTTTTCAAGTTTACTGAGTGTGAACAGTGCTCCATTGCCCTCTGACCCTCCACTCGGTATGTCTGGTTTTGTCGCTGGCCAATCATGGAAGAGCGTCGCAAAACCTCCCCTCTTGATCGCGACGGAATGCTCCACTTTGGGTGGTAACATGGTTTTTGGCGAATTCATATTCAGGAATCTTGAACTTGAAAACAGCCATGTGGAACTCGGGCTTTAACTTGAAAAGGTGGTGCGACGAGTTTCTCTGACAGAAAGAGTTCGGGACGACGCAGCACTGTTTCAAACAACTCACGTGCTTAGATCGAACTAATGTGATTGGCTGTCGCCAAAGTTAAAGGTTAAAGTTATTTTTTCTGGTCGTAACCAGTTACAGGGGTATCCATTCCTAGATGAGCATGTGCTGACCCCTACTTGGGGTCTGGCAGAACACGCCTGCACGGGGTACGGTAGGTTCGATCCCAGGACCTCATCTATCGGAAGTGCCTCTTTCTACTGACTAGGCCACTTCAGGATGGCTGTCGCCAAAGTGAAAAAATTGGTTCCCGCCAAACGAGTTTTTCTGGCTCATGACAGTGATCGCACGTTCACGTGCCTCGCAAAGCGAGGGATTAGTCGCCAGGCCCAACTTCAGTTTCAAGCTGGGACTGGGTTCATGACTCGCTGGCTGCGTTCTGCAGGCACGACAGAGGGGGGGGAGGCGGTAAATAGGAACCTTCCCCCAACTGCGTTTTTTGGATCAAACGCCCGGTCAGCCCGGAAAATGGATCCGAGCCTGCCATTTACCCTCCGAACGTAAACGAAGGTAAATGGCAACAGAACAGCCATTTACCCTCGAGGATATGAGGGCGTAGGAAGCTGCCTATTTCCCCACCCCAGCTTCCTTCTCTGGCAAAATTTGCCTCCTCCTCCCCCCCTTTCGAAAACTTCTCTTGCCCTGGATGTGAGACGGAGGGGGGAGGGAGGCGGGGGGTTAGGGAACACCACGGTTGAACCCTAGAAAGCAATAGCACCTTCCTTAAGTAGCCCAAACAGGGACGCGTCAAACTAACAGGAAAAAAAACACAGCGAGGTTTGTGTATTGCTGGAGGGAGTGCTTGGGGACCCTTTTTTCTACGTGGTAACCCTTCTCTAAACTTCAACCCTTTTTCTGATTTCACGCAGCTCTATCTACCCAAATTCTGAGCCGGCCCACAACCAGTGGACGGGGTTGACCCTGGTCGTAATGTGGTGCGCCGTGCTCGAAGCACTCGTCCTCAGAAGCACCCTAGGGCAACGAGTACGTTGCCACCTGGGGGGGGGGGGAGTGTAACGCATCAACCTACTTCTAACTTAACTCCCAAGCTAACTAACACTCGAGACATTCATCGAGATTGCTCTCGATAGAAATTGTGCTACGAGTGAAGTAAAGGTTGGATTGGGAAAGAAGGGTTGGGTTGGAAGGAAAAGGTTGGATTGGAAATTCCAAAGGTTGGATTTCCAACCAATCAGAAACTGCCACTTGAATGTTACAACCTACTCTATCTTAAAAACAACCATACAAATGGTTCTAGGTTGGGTTTTCCCAACCCAACTATTTGCCACATAGGCTCCAAGCCTAGGGACCATCCCACCATGGAAACCATGGTTGGGAAAGTCCACCAAGGGGTGTATTGAGGGGGTTTGAGCTAACCAAGCTCATTCTCAACCTCCCACTCCAACTAATCAATTGGAAATGGGATTGTTTTGTCTAAGTCATTGAGAGCCCTCTCACACAACTCCCTACACAACTTCTTCAAGTGCTTCCCATCAAAGGCTTCAACAAGACTCACATGTCCAAGGCTACTAAGAGGGGTTAGCTAGAGCTACCATTTTGTACCAAGATTATTATTAAAGCCCTGTAATCTCTACTATAATAGCCTTGGGCATTACATCACCCCCCCGTCGTTGCCTGCCCCAAGCCTAAGACTCACTTTCTCCGTCGCCCCTAGCGTCAGCCTCCTCGTCGCGCGCTCTACTCCTTGTATCAACCTCACAAGGTACCCGCACATCGTCCTCCCCGTCACCCTGGCGTCACCTACCTCCCCTCCATTACCATCGCCCACCTTGTCGCCCATGCGCTCATAGCGAGTCGCCCTCACGTCGCCATTCCTCTCCCCCTTCCCATTACCCACCTCGTCGCCTTCGCACTCGCCGCGTATCTCCCCCCGTCGCCCCTCTGCTCTCCCTTCCCATACCCATCTCGTCGCTCTCGCGCTTGTTTTGAAACGCCCTCCCGTCGCCATTCCGCTCTCCCTTCCCGTTACCCTCCCGTCGCCATTCCGCTATCTCCCTTCGCTGCCCGTCGCCTCGATATCTCCCTTTGCTGCCCGTCATCTCTACATCTCCCTTCGCTACCCGTCGCCTCGCTATCTGCCTTTGCCGCCCGTCACCTCTCTATCTCCCTACGGTGCCCGTCGCCTCGCTATCTCCCTTCGTTACCCGTCGCCTCGCCATCTCCCCTCGCTGTCCGCCGCCCTCGCTATCTCTCGTCGCCTCGCCATCTCTACCGTCGCCCTTCCCCTCTCCCGTCGCGCCTTCCTCTCTCCGTCGTGCTTTCTCCCTCCATCGCGCTTCCTCTCTACCGTCGCCCTTCCTCTCTCCCTTCGCCCTTCCCCTCTCCTGTTGCGCCTTCCTCCCTCCGTCGCGCTTCCTCTCTCCCGTCGCCTTCCTCTCTCCCGTCGCCCTTCCCCTATCCCTTCACGCCTTCTCTCTCCCGTCGCCCTTCCCCTCTCCCATCACGCCTTCCTCTCTCTGTCGCGCTTTCTCCCTCCGTCGCGCTTCCTCTCTCCCGTCGCCTTCCTCTCTCCCGTCGCCCTTCCCCTCTCCCTTCGCTCCTACTCTCATTTCGGTTTGAAAAATGTCTAAAGACAAAAAAAAACAAACAAACAAACAAACAAAAAAAAACACACACACACAAACACACACACACACACGCACGCACGCACGCACGCACGCACGCGGTTCAAAAATATGTTGCCGTAATTTACGGTATCGTAAATTACGGTAAAAAACGGTCAATCATTGTAATTTCATGCTGGTTTTAAAATACGGTCGTAAATTACAACCGAAATTTTGATACCTAGTTTGCAATAGCGAATTTCGGCATTTCCCAACCATCACCCTGGATTTGAGACATTCGTGCAGCCAAATGCACACGTGTTTGTTTTTTTCCCGAGTCGCGCATGCCAGGTATTTCTCGAGGCGCGACATTTTGTTTTTTGGCGAACGGTTTGCTGGTCTGTTGCCTTTACGAAATGTCAGTTTGTGTATTTCGCCGAAGCGCAAATGTACAAATTTGCGCGATGCAGTTTAGTGTACATTTGGCGAACCGTTATCACCCGTCAACCCGTTTCGCCGGGTCGGGGGGACGATTCGCGGCCCCGTCGTTATTTTCGCCCGCGTGCGCGACACAACCCAATTTTGCGCTGCGAAACCATTTTAACCAATAGCGTTAGTCCAATCTCCATCCCATCCCATCCCATCCTTTTTGCCTTTACCATTCGCCAAAGCAACACAACCAAGTCTGGCAAGGTACAAAGAGCAGGGCGATAAACCTACTCGACAAGTACATCTTAGTAGGCATTTTACAGCTTCAGTCAAGTGCGGTATTCCACCATGGTTAGACCTTTCTCGGAGGTGTGGGAGCACGTGACGAAGGTTACATCTCCTAACGGCGTAGTCACCGCGACATGCAGCTATTGCCCTGCTACCGTGACCCCAAATGTCACTCGTATTAGAGAGCACATCTACGGGACCCCTCGCTCACAGGAGAAAAACGTGACGCCGTGTCCATCTGAGTTTGCCAAGCGGCTTCGTGAAGCCGCCGAGAGGGATCGGTCTTCCACACCATCCAGTTCCAACCGTGCCTCTACCTCCACCACGGTTGAGATGCCTCCCGCAAGGCGTTCTAGGCAGCGGGACATCCGCGATATGGCGGATACCGTTGCCCGCGCGCGTTTGGACTACCTGTGGGCGGCAGTTGTGGCAGAGAATGATCTAGCCTTCAACGTCTCCAAATCGCGTGCGCTACAGGCCTTCGTTGACGCGGCGGTTGTGTTCGCGAAGCCCTACACACTACCAACCCCTTACAAGGTGTCCGGCTCTCTCCTCGACAAGCTAAGGGCGGACGCCGAGGAGCTTGTAAGGCCGTTGAAGGAGAGTTGGAAGGCGACCGGGTGCAGTCTCTCGGTGGATGGGTGGACATGCATGAAGTCCTGCGGGATCGTGTGCGTCATCGCCCACAACGACACCGCGCCCGTCATTGTGGACATCGTCGACTCGAAAACCGCCAAGAAAACAGGAGATTACCTCGCGGGTCTCATCGGGAACTCAATCTCCGAAGTGGGGAAGGGCCTCGTGGTCCAAGTCATCATGGACAACGCGTCTAACAACCGATCAGCGGCTGAGAAGCGTAAGGTGGAATTTCCCTCGGTTTTTTTCGCCAACTGCGCCGCCCACTGCTTGGATCTTATGCTTCACGACGTAGGGAAAGTTAAGCCCGTCAAACGCGTGTTAGAGCAAGTGCATCGAGTCGTCATGATGATCAAGGGCAGCGCCTCCGCCGTCGTTCTATTTCGCGAGCTTTTTACCAAGCTTGCGTTGGTGCGGCCGGGTGCGACACGGTTCGGCACTCAAGTCATCATGATACGCCGATTCTTGGAGGTGAAGAGGGCTCTCCAGGCCATGGTCATTAGCGATGAATGGAAAGGGGTGGCGGTGGCGCAAAAGAAAGAAGGGCAGGAGGTGAGGGCGCTTCTTCTAGACGACGTCTTTTGGGACTGTGTTTCTGCGGTGCTCCGCCTCCTCACGCCGGTGTATGAAGTGCTAAGGGTGGTTGACACGCGGGCACAAGTCATGGGCCAAATCTATGGCCTCATGATTGATATCACGGTCAAGACACGAGAATCTGCAGAGGCCGCCGGTAAGTGCAAAGCTCTTTTATGTTTAGTTCTGATCCTTCTTCCGAATCTGTGATACATGCTTGATCAAACCGCGCATGCCATTGCCTATGTTAACAATCAACTCCTCCATCCTCACCGTGAGCAGCATCGGTATTCATCAAGAAGACGGGCCAGCTCTTGGCCAAGGACAAGAGCACCTTCATGGCATCCATCAAGGGCATCCTTGCCCGGCGATGGGACGGGCAACTCCACAACCCCCTGCATGCCCTGGGATGGCTTCTTAATCCCCGCAACCAATACGCGGGGGAGGTGAGAACCGATGCGGAGGTAAGGAAGGGGGCCGACGAGGTGATTCAGGCCCGGGTGGGGGATGTTGCCCAGCGCATCAAGCTGCAGACACAGCTGGTGCAGTTCCACAAGGGTGAGGGCCGCCTCGGGTCGGATGATGCTCTATGGGCAGCCAAGACCTTGGTGGAGGGGGAGCGCATGACGGATGCGGAGCGGTACTGGTCCGCCCTTGCACGAGTGCAGAGGCGGGACCGGAACCGCATCGCGGCCAAGAAGATGACTGATGTCACCTTCGTGGCCTTCACCAGGAGGGCCCGCGATACGTTTGATCGCAAAACTCAGGCGCGTGCGAAGTTGTACGCTGATCTCACCGACGGAACCCTCAAAGGGGGCATTGCCATGCCCCCGCCCGCAACAGTGGAAGAGGATGAAGGTGGGGCTGAAGAGGAGGAGGGAGCCGAGGTGGAAGAGTGCACCATCGATTGGACTGTATTTGGGAGCATTGGTAAGAAGAAGAAGAAGCGCGCGGGAGATTGCTCCAAGAGGAAGAGGAAGGAGAAGGGAAAGGGGCCATGCAACCGGAAGGGAAAAGGAAAGAAGCGTGTGGAGGAGGAGGAGGAGGAGGAGGAGGAGGAGGAGGAGGAGGAGGAGGAGGAGGAGGAGGAGGAGGAGCGGCGGCAGCGAGCAATGGGCGGGAGGTAGGACCCTCCAAGCGTCCTAAGGCAGTCCGGCCGTGGGACTGCAGTGATGGTGAGAGTGGGGAGGAGGAGGAGGATGAGGAGGAGGAGGACCACGAGGAGGAGGAAGGGTAGGAGGTGGAGGAGGAGAGGAGTAGGAGAGGTGGAGGAGTAGGAGGTGGAGGAGGAGTAGGAGGGAGGATTCCTACCTAGGTAGAGGAGGAAGAGGAGGGATTAGGTGCAGATTTGCCTAGGTAGTGTAGTGTAGTTTCCTGTAGGCTTCCTTGTCATCGTTGTAAGCTGCCTAGAAGTTTCTGAAAAATAAAAACAACAAAAAAAACTCCAACAAAAAAACGGCCGTATTTTTGCCAAAACCACCATAAATTACGACCGTAAATTACGGACCGTAATTTACGATTGCCGTATTTTTGAACCTTGCGCACGCACGCACGCACGCACGCACGCACACACACACACACACATACACACACACACACACATACACAAGACGCGACAAAGTCGACCTAGGGTTGCGAAGCATTTTGCAAAAGTACATTAACTTGTAAAAAGCTTATAAAGTGTACAAACTTGAAAGTTCCAACAATTTTTTTGTGTTGTTTCCAAAACCACTCAAGAGCCTTCTAAATTAGAACCCGAGGCCTTTCAACTTCCGGCTGATCTTCTTACGACTAAAACAGATGGCACTTACTTACTACAACTTTTAAATATGTTCTCGACCTATGTCGACGCGACGAAATTGAAACAACTCTAGGGTTTTTACGTCCCTTTCTTCTTTGTCCCTCCCACTAGTAAGTGGAGGCTAGTTCTTCAAGTCAGCTCGGTACTCACGCTCCATCTGCTGCGATCTCTTAAAGGTGAGAAGACTTCTAGCTATTAAGTAGAGACTTAGGTAGACGATTACAACATAGAATAAGATCTTCGTTAACTTCCGCATTTGGTCGTTTTAACGCAACAAAAGCGGTTTACGCCTAAGTTATAGGCCTTTGTAAGGACGTCAGTCCTTAGGTCGTTAATAAGGCTTTATTTTTTCTTTTCATTCCCTATCGCGCTCGTATCTCTCGTCTTACCTTGAATCGTTGTCTCTATTTATATGCTTTCCAGTTGTTGCTTTTCCTTTTTCTTGTCCTTCCAGTCCCATGTTCGTTCCTTACTGATCTCGTTCATTTCGTTCTTGAGATTTTATCGAGTTGTTCCTTCCTTTAAATAAATTCCGCATCTAGTGACGTTTGTCTTGGTTTTTGTGACTTTTTTTGCTTTACCCTTTCTTCACCCTTCCTTCTCTTTTTTTGTGACTCTACGATTGGCCACTCCTATTCGTAGCTGCATCATTTCGTTCTTAGTTTCTGTTTTTGTCCCCTATGCTACGTAGGTTTTTTTGTAGTTTATTGAACTCTCTCTCTCTCTCTCTATCTCTCGTTTTTTCTCTCGTTCGTTCTCTCTCGTTCTCTCTTTCTTGCTCTCTCTCTCTCTCTCTCTCTCTCTCTCTCTCTCTCTCTCTCTCTCTCTCTCTCTCTCTCTCTCTCTCTCTCTCTCTCTCTCTCTCGTTCTCTCTCTCTTCCGTTCTCTCTCTCCGTTCTCTCTTTCCCGTTCTGTCTCTCCGTCTGTCTCCCGTTCTCTCTCTCTCTCTCTCTCTCTCTCTCTCTCTCTCTCTCTCTCTCTCTCTCTCTCTCTCTCTCTCTCTCTCTCTCTCTCTCTTCTTTGTCTCTCGTTCTCTCTTTTGTTCGTTTTTCGCTCTCTCATTCGTTCTCCTAACCGAGCGGTTAGGAGAGACGGACACAGGTTGGTGTGACGGCTACGTGCAGTACCATTTTCCTGTGTCTAATAATAATAATAAAAAAAAAAGTTCCTTTTTGCTCACCCTGGTTTCTTGTAGGCTGCAATTGGTTCCGCACCAATGAAAGGAACGTTGTTATTTTCATCAAGGCGGGGAGTGTACGACGAGCAGATTATCTTCGACAACAAGGGAATTGTCCTAGTTGGAGAAGGAATTGGCAACACTATCATTACTGGCAAGAAGAGTGTGAATGGCGGATCAACAACCTACAACTCCGCTACTATTGGTACGGAATCTTCCTCCTTCCCCCTTCGTTTGGTCTCTTTATCCACTCTGTCTCTGTCAATCTGCAAAAAATAATAGATTTCCATCACTACTGAAAAAAAAAAAAAAAAAAAAAAAACATCACTGCAAGAATTATTGCCATCCCCCCCTCCCCTCCCGAGGCGCCAACAAGGGCGCTGCGTTCCCTCCTCTAGCTCCCCACTCCTCTTCTCTCTCTCTCTCTCTCTCTCTCTCTCTCTCTCTCTCTCTCTCTTCTCTCTCTCTCTCTCTCTCTCTCTCTCTAATGGCCCTTTCATTGATAATCGTGGAGTACACACATGCAAGGTATTGGTATCGTACGTAACAGCCATCACAAATGAAAATCCCCTACTCCTCTTGCAACGCTGCCGCCCCACACGTCTCCCTCTAAGGGAGATCCAGTGTGGGGTCCAGGACCGTGAGGCAATCCCCAAGAGACGGGGCCTCTCCTACCGCCTCAAGCAGCGGGTTTTCTACCGCTGCTGCGATGTTGCACTTATCTAGGTACCCAACTGATTGCCCCCTTTGAAGAGCCACCGACCACCGCTGCCGATATTGGTGTAAGAGCTTGGCAGCTTGATAGGAGGTAGGCTCGGCGTTGGAAAACCGCCTTGCGGCTGATTCCGCAAGTAACTTCAGGAAGTCCACTGTTTCGGGGCATGGGCACCCGTATGTCTCGACCGCGAGTGGGAAGAACTTAACCCCCTCCGGGCGGTCCTTGTAAAGGCCGTGCTTTTTGTCCGCAGCTTCCCGTGCTGCCCATCCCCGCCCTTTTGTTGCGTTCTCATCCCTGGTACTAATCGGATCCGTTACAGTCACGTCGCAGATGTAGACGGCGCTAGTAGTGCGGTCGCGGAGGGCTAGGTCAGCCTTCTTCCCTTCCACGGGGCTGAAGGCGGCTGATTCTATGTGCACCATGAAGCCTGCATCCCTTGCCATTCGCGCACACTCGTCTCTAAGTTCATTGTGCGTGTTGATCCGTCCCCCCCTGTACCGCACCGCAGCAGGTGATTTGGGAGCCGTTTATCTAGGATTTTACCTTCTTCGTGCAGTTACACACTCCAGAGCAGCGAAGGGGAGCCCTAGCCGGAACTGGAGGGCGTTGGCATAGTGAGGAGCGTCGAGTCGTAGCGATTGGTGAATTGGCACGGCATTTAACCAGTCCCCCGCCCCATATCCTGACAGGGACAACATCGTTGGGTGTGGCCGTTGTTGGGGTTCGGCCGCATCCCGCGCACCTCCTCCACTTGTACCGCGTACCGCTGGCCCTGAATAGCAGTGGCCATTCCGTGCTGCAGCTTCCCGATGGTGGGGCCGCTCTTTCCGCTTGCAGGACCTCCATGGCGGCAGGGGCAGCCCCTCCTCGCATTCCGCCAGCCACTCGGTCAGGGGGGAGTCCTGGGGTGTAGGGGCCCCGCATCAGCCCGCGGGTGCCCTCTAATGGGCGATGCTTTCGTTGTCCAGTGATTCAAGCAGCAGCTGCGCCTGCGTGTAGCTGGCGAGGAAGCTTTAACGCCCCTCCACCGAGGGATCCGCTAGGCCAAGGCCCCCCAAGCGACACGGGAAGAGATGCTTGTGCTCATACGCGTGCCGTCTCCTCGTCACCCCGCGGTTGGCTGATTCCGCACGCCGTGAGGAGAGCTTCCAGCAGCCGCCGCCCCCAGCGTGACCACTCCTCCCTGGGCAGGAACGGCAGAGGTGTCGTGCGGGCGAGGTAAGAGACTGGCGAGAGATACACCAGGACAGCAGCAGTCCCGCCAGCTGCGGGTCCATCCGCTCAATCAGCTCCAGCGGCGCGCTCATCCCCTCCAGGCTGGTATGGACGAAGTCTGAGGTGCCGGTGCTGTGCCAATGTAACTGCCCAATACTTTCAGGCCGTCGCTGCTGGGAGGAACTCCTTCAGGTAAGCGGCGGTACGGGGACGTCTTGCAGGACCAAGCCCCGCACTTGGCAGGGTTGTGCGGAGCCCAATTTCCGCCAAGTGGCCTGTGAAGTGTTCAAAAGCAGCCACGCACGCCGACGGCTCCCCGAGGAAGGTCACATCGTCCGCGTAGGCTAAGCAGACGACGGATGGATGAGCCTCTGCGGCGGCTTTAAGAGCTGGGTGCATGGCAGCGGCAAAGAGAAGGGGACTGAGGGGATCTCCTTGGCGGACCCCTGTTTCACTGTGCAAGGGCGGGTGGTTCAAAGGCTGCATCAGATGGAGAAGGGACGGTGGGGATCTCTCTTTCTCTCTCTCTCTCTCTCTCTCTCTCTCTTCTCTCTCTCTCCTCTCTCTCTCTCTCTTCTCTCTCTCTCTCTCTCTCATCTCTCTCTCTCTCTCCTTACTTTCGTTTCATGCCTCGGTGCATTTCTCCTTGCTTTAACCTTCTACTCACGGCGTTTTTCTTAGCCATTGTGTTGTTTCATTCGTTTCTTCGTATTCCTTTTACTCGTCATTTCATCACACCTCATACTTTTTTCTGCTTCACAATTCAGCCTATTTTATTATTAAGGTTTTTCTTCTTTTGTGACGTCTACCTTGTCAAACCTTTGTTTGAATCCACTCTTCTGTTTTTTCTGCTTCTTCCTTTCGGTTGATTTTTTTTCACCGTATTCGCCCTTCATTCGTTTCTACTCGTTCCTCTTCGTTTTGTGATGCTGTTTTCTTTCTTCACCAGGTTGCGCGTACGTCAGATTAACTCCTTATGATTGATCCAAGTGATTGAGAAATGTTGGATTGTGGAATTTGATTTAGACTGTTGTTCATGAATTTTACATCTTCTGTTTTCATTTTTCCCTACTTGTCCTTTTTGTTTGTGCTTTGTATGCGGTTCTTTTGTTGGTCACAGAAATTTTCTGTGAATCGATCTGCCGATTTCGTTATATAGAGTGTGCATTGGCGTTTATATTTTGGAGCTGAAGGTGAAGCGGGGGTCCCTGCAATC